GACATCGAATGATTTCCATCGACTTTTCCAGATCTGTCGGACGTGCCGGAGAACCTGCCGCTCGCCGCGCCGGGCTCGGAAAGTCCCCAGGCCCTGAACTACTCTCAGATCGCGTCCGCGGCGGTGGCCGTCTCTCAGGGAGGCCAGGATCCCTCGGTCTCGAGTACGGAGACCCTGCTCAGGAATATCCAGGGCCTGCTCAAGGTCGCGGCCGACAACGCGAGGCAGCAGGAGAGGCAAATCAACTACGAGAAAGGTCAGTGGCAGGGCTTTCTTAAGACACTCGAGGCCCCCGGACCTCCGTCGCCCGCCCTCTCGCCCACCCCCTCCCCACAATTTCATTATCTGCCGAGGTTCTCGCGGAGCCACATTAAGAGGCATTAGTCTCCGACCCGTCGACGAGCTTCGGCTCCGTTCCCCACCTTTTCTTACCTAACCGTCCGTTCCTCTTTCCCTCCGCTACCCGCTGAGTCCTCTTCGGCAACGCTGTCATCCGAGACGATCGGACTGCGTGTCATTTTCCCGAGATTCGTGTCGATCCATGATTCCTCTAGCTCTAATTAATTGAATTTAACCAGTTAAATATGTTTGATGAGTACACTCGTCATGGAGAAGTTGCAGGATTTTGTCATGACGAGTATACTCGTCAAAAAGTAGTGACCATTGCCTTTTCACTGCGTCATTTTCCCGAGATTCGTGTCGATCCTTGATTCTTCTAGCTCTAATTAGTTGAATATAACCAGTTAACCCTTTGCACTCAGAAGGTGTAAATGTAAAGGTTTATGTAAAACTATAAAATATGATATTTAATGTTGAACTTTGTATAACGCGTCAATACGTGAAATATTGGAATAAAATAGCTTTGTTCTTTAACATGCTTGTGTTTTCCCTTCGAGTTAATTTTAAAGAATATCCGAGTGCACAGGGTTAACTTTGTTTGACGAGTACACTCGTCATAAAGTATGACTTTCAATCACTAATCACTCGTTGCGATTTATACGATGCATTCGGAGTTTACGCGATTGAAAGGAAGCACTGTTGCTCGAGATAATTAGCCTTGATTACTTCCAAACGAGTTTTCATCGGAGAATAAGTTCCAACGTTTAAAAATTGAAGTCGATGTATCATAAAATTCCCATGAAACCAAAGGGATTTCGAAGGTAGAACAGTTTCACGAGCAATGGGAGATATCAGCCCTTCCGACAGGTTTCCTCTAATTAGATACATACATTCGATTAACTCAACTTGAACACACACCACAAACAAATCGGGCAGAGCTACTTCGATATCAATCTATCACGTACCGATACATTGTGCACTCTACATCAAACACGAAACTTTACAACTCGTTGTACGAAAGCGAACGACGGCGCATAAATTAACCGGTATCTCCGATCGCCACTCGAAATCGAAATATTCCAGCGAGTGGCCGGTCAGCTCGTCGCGCACGGAATTCTCAAAGTTATCGGCGGCGCGTCGCTGCGAGGCCGTCGGAGCGTTAAAAATTCAATTTGAAGGGGCTGCTCGAAATTGATATGCGTCCTTAAAATCCACATTTCAATTATACATTTTTACGCGGCCGGGCCGAGCCGGCCGAGAGGAGAGCGCGCGCAGAGATATCCCGTCGGCAGTTTGACCGTCGTTTTATCGTTCGCCCGCGATAACTCGCGCGTCTCGATGCAAATCGTCCGGTCGTTAATACGGGAGATCGATCGGGGGCTGGATCTCTCTCTCCGTTTCATCTCCTCGTAATAACGCGCCGCTCGTAAGAGGGCCCGAGCACGTACCAGGCCGGGCTAATTATAATTAACGAGTCATAATCGCCGACGAATGCGAATAATCGCGGCGTATAATAGAACTCGGCCGGCGACGCGTGCATTCCCCGGCCGCGGAACGGGTTTTCTCGTTGGACAGGAAATATCGCCGGCCGATTCCGGTCGGTCCTGTTCGAAATCCTGCAACCGGACACCGCGGAATAGAAATCGTTTAACGATCCCTCGATCGACGGTTTAGAAACTGCTCGCGGCGGGATCGTGTTACGCGACGCAGGATCGAGGCTGATCTGATGCCGCGCGAAGTTCGACTTCGTCAAACCTATGGGAATCGTGTTACGCGACGCAGGATCGACGCTGATCCCGTGCAACGCGAAGTTCGGCTTCGACAGACGGGTGGCTTGTGTTTCGGAGATGTGATTAGGGATGAATTCTTATCGAGATTATTACGTTTCTTGGGTAGTCGAAGCAATTTAGGGAACTTGCGAGTGTAGGGATTTTTTAATGTTCGATAAGTTATTGGAAGATTCTTAGTGATGAAAGTCGAATGGTAGCCTGCGTTTCGTCGCCTTGTTAACCCTTTGCACTCGGGAGGTGACTCTCAGTCACCACTTGATTTGACGCGGTAAAGCTATAAAATCTGATACTTAATGTTGAACTTTGTACAATGCCTCGATACTTGAAATATTGGAAAAAATTGCTTGGTTCCTGAATGCACTTGTGATTTCCTTTTGAGTTAGTTTCAAAGAATGCCATCTTTATTGGTTTCTACTCGGTAACGATGATTACATGTAATGATCGATGTGAATTGCCTATTTGGTACCAGGAAACGCGAACGAAAAGTTTCGTTTACGTCTGCAATAGCTAAAGTAATCACTGTTACACGTGAAATGAAGTTTTCTTATTTTCACGACACTTCTTTTCCAAGATAATCTCATTGGATCGTTTAACATGATTTAACGTTGCTCCTAAACGTTGAATAGAAATCCGCTCGAACGCCTGATCATTATTTACCGCTTCTGCGTCTCGTAAACATTAGCCATTTTACTTTTCGCCGTTCAAGCGAGCGCGATCGAGAAGCGATGGTTCACTCTCAGGAAAAATCGACCAAACAAGAGCGCCCGGGTCGCTCGCTCGCCGAACGCATTAGTTAACGGCCCTCGGAACGACACTTTCCGCTGGTTAATGGCCAATTAAACTGTCGCGTTTGCGTTTCCGACGGAATATATTAGTCCCGCGTCCCGTTGTCATCGCGTACTCCGCGAACCGCAAGCTCAACGATTAACCAATCAAAAGGAATACTCAAACCAGAGCTTCACTTCATTAGAACTCAACCCTTTTCTCCAATATTAACCCAAAAGAGAAAATATTTCAAGTTTACTTACCAAAGACTACCGTGTCATAGCTAACAAGCGAAAAGAAATTCACAAAACTATCAAGACACTTAACTTCCTTGTAAATATCACAACAGCGAAAATAATATGACGATGTTCACCATATAGACAGCATGGAAACCAATATGTAAAATTACCATGATTAGGTTCACCGACATTTCTTATACCTGTCTACCGACAAATGTCAATTTGACACGTCAACGAAATCACACGTTTCCTTGAAAAACCAGCTGTAAAAACGCCAGATGATACACAAAGATAAATGGCACTATGAATAAAATAAAATAATAAAAGTGTGTACAAGTGACATAAAAAAATTTTAATGATTTATACTTTCCTCGCGAACTTCGAAATGGACTGAAATGTGTGTGGTAAATCTGGTGTTTGCGTTGAATTTCCATCGACTCCGTGAATGCTCGTTCAATTTCTCGGACACCCAGTATGAACACGACGGGCCCATTAGCGGGGGCCCGCGTCCGTGGCAGCGGCGGGAGGCAGAGTCCGTCCTTTGTTCCCGCGGCGGCGGATCGGCCGATTAAGCCGGGACTTTAACGCGGGAGGACGTTCAGCCGGCGCGGCGTACGTCGGACGGGGCCGACACGTGAACGTCGACGAGTTCATCTGTTGCCGCGTCGCGACGTCCGTCCAGCGGCGCCGGGGCGAGGGGAGAACGGGCCCAGGCTTAGCGGATTCCTCGTGTCCACGTGCGCGCGCAACGAGTCTTATCGCCCGCCTCGCGATACTGATGGAAGAGCGAAGCGATAAGCTGCAAAACGAGGAGAAAGCGGATAGTTGACTAGTAATCTAGAAAGGGAGGATGGGACAGAAGGGAGGGAGTGAAGGGAGAGATAAAGAGAACGAGTTGTAGGGGAAGGATGAATTGCGAGGTGGAAGAAAAGAGTGAAAATTGGATGAAGGTTGATTGGTGTGGAGA